ACAACGATCTAATTACGGAATTGAATCATTTTAGGTTTTCGAGTCATTGATTTTTCAGGTTAACCGTCGGGTAAATCCAATTCTGAAAACACTTGTATGTGAGAACATAGGCATTTTTGGTCCTGTGATAAAGGAAGGAATAAGCTTGTTAATGGATCGAATTTCAATTCAAATTTGAATCTGTTTAAATGAATACAGATCGGATTTTTAATCCATTAATCCGATCCGATTAGAGTTGTCTAAATGGATTCGGATATGGATTTATAATAATTTGATTTCAATAAATAAATATATTATATAAATAAATATCACATATATATTATACTTATACTACAAAATAAATAAAAATAGAGTGAATATCATAATATATAACCCATTTTTTTCATTTTTATTTTGTCTCTCTCTCTCTTGTTTGATTTTCCCTCTTACTTTTACTTCAATTTTTTCATTTTTCCTTCTTTTTTTAGTTCATTATCTAAATTTTCATTGTTAATTTTTTTTGTGTACATGTGTTTTTTGTGATAATCAGATTGAATTGAATTTTTGGATCTGGCATCCGAAAATTAACGGATTCAAACATCAATTGAATTTTTCAAATCTTATGGATAATTAGATCAAATTGAATCGACAAAAACTTAGTCAATTCGAATACAGATCAATCCAATTCATTTCTGATCCGTTTCATTTCTGATCCGTTGACGGGCTAAGTGAAGGCAAGTGAGTGGAATAGGAAAAAAATAGTAGGTAAGGCCCACAATCCCCTTGTTTGGATGGTGTATCTTGGCCGGGGATATGCCCGGTATAATTGTTCAAGCCCAATCCTATCCAATCATATAGTCCAATGTTGAACCCAACTAGTAGTTTTTTCAAATTCAAGCACTTATCCGACCGGTATAGATATGGGTGAAGTGGCTATTCCTATCCAATCCAATAGCAAATCCTGTTCAATCCGTTGCATATGTCATTCATTCGTATATTAATTGTTGGGAAATCTGTATAATACTCCATCATCCACAGCACATGGTTGGTGAAATTGAGGGAAGGAGTAGTATAAGGTGCATCCATATCCTTTTGTTATGATGGTCCAAAGTAATGCAAGATAAATATTTATCGATCATTATTCATTCATTGTATTTGCATGGTAGATGATGACCATCTCAATTATCTTTCGCATCTCAGGGAATGATTTTGTCACGGATTCTTTGATTCTACACTAAAGACTAGTTCTTAGAAACTTAACATCGAATCAGGGGAGGATCTATCAGTGGGCCAGGGGAGTCATTGGTCCATCTTCAATTTATATATATATATATATATATGTTATTTAATTATTTACTTTGATATTATTTGTCATGGCCATTCTTGAATTGACTTTAATTTGTATATTTATGACTTTTGTTGGTTCTAAATTCGTATTTTGAAGACAAAATTGTTTGCATCGACCTACAAATGATCTCTTTTTGTCTAAATTTAATCAATGATTGACTTGTTTCAATTGGATTTTAGTGATATTATTACCCTAACTTAAGTTTTTATTTGATGGCTTTACAGTCAAATATAAAAAGACGTAAGGGTAAATTGTTAATAGATGTAATCACTCTTTCATTTTGGTAAGAGTTCTAATTAATTTTTTTTATAATTTTTTTTCTTAATATAAAACATATGTATCAATTTTGACCATTTTTTATTTAATGAACTTTTATTTATGAGATATGATATATTGTCTTACATTTGTCTTATATATATGTGTGAATCAAATGTAATTGGCGGTGAACTTCACTATAACAATTTGATAAATAATAGTATTGTTTGGTAATGAGTTTTTCCGTTTGCATTACATTTTTTTTTTGACACTAGTCTTTTATAAGATTTTTTGTGGGTAGTTTAGATTTTAATAGAGTTTAGATTTGTGATTTACACTATTTTATTAAAATATATAAAACATAGAGTCATTTTTTGGAAAACTTAAAATCACTAATCTCTTTATGTTAGAGTAGACCTGTCCACCCTTAAAGTTAATTTTTGGCTCCGCCTCTTCATAAAATCAATTATAGATGAATCATGAGATTTGAAACAACAATGTATTCTCCTTAGATACATCATTGATATGGTTTAGTAACTTTATATATATATATCTGTTTTTGTCTCCCTCTAATTAGCTGTGTTCACTCTACTCTATGGGGAAGAATTATGGTATTCTATCTTTCTATTCGATATTTTGTGAATTTTTTTTTTCATGGCCAACCCCTCCCGACCGAGTGTACTATTTTTACTTAAGTTCTGTTCAAAACAATCGGGTAAGAAATCGGATAGAAAATTGAGTGAACACATATTTTATTGTTAATAATTTTAAAACATTTTAAGAATTCAATTAAGTAAATGTATAAATAATTACAAGAAAACACAACAAGAAAACCATAAACATTAATACATCATAATTATCGTACAAATATAATAACAACTGTTTTAGGTCTAAATCATATCAAGCACATATCAAACATTATATATATGCAGGTAAGATCGGGTATAAATACATAATTTTTATGAATATTCCACATTCCTACCAAATGTTTTGTGAAATACTAAAAAAAATTTGTTGACTTACCAGATTTTTTATGGTAGCCGATCAATAGGGTTGAAGTAATCGAAAATTTGAATACCCCTACCTCTAATATAAACTTTTGACTACGCTCCTGGTGACACGTGATGATATCATAAGTTTTAGTTTGGTTCCCAAAATTAATCATATATAATATGGTAATTAGAACTGATTTTCTTGAAGTACCCAAGAGGAGGTTCTATAAATTCCCTGGTAACTGCATTAAAAATTGTGATGGTAACTTGTGTTTGGATGGACCAGAGTAACATGCAGGCCGAACAGGAGCAACAAACACGGAGCCACAAGCTTGAAATTTTCAAGTCAAACAGACAAGAAGCGGAGGTTATCGATAGAAACAAATGGGCAGGCAGACTCTAGCTTTCGTTACCTTACGTTTGTTTTCACTCTTTCACTCCTTGCCTTCATGCCCACAATTTCCCATAACCCTACCACTTTTAACTTGACGAAGCAGTAAACAAATAACAATAGGAAATCACCATTTTTTTTTGTTGTAAAGATACACTCAATATATATATATATGAACGACAAAAACCCTAATTGTCTTATAATAAAATGAAAATCTCAATCAATAGTAATTTGGAAAAAATAGAAAATATAAAAAAAAAAAAACATAAAAGTACGTGTCATTTGAAATCTAACAAAATTAACGACTTTGAATTTAAAATCTTGTATAATTTATTATTAATCTTTGAATTCTTTCTTAAAACGTCAAAAACAAAAATTTAAAAGTGTAAACGATAGAATTCGTTTCAAAATTGAAAGAGGTCATGAAAATATGATGAATCTTGATTGTTGGCTTAATTCGAATCAAACAACACTTGTCTCATTGTCTCGTGCTACCTAATTTGCCACTACTATTACTTTTTAGCCTAATTTTCTCTTTGAATACACGATTATCCCCTCCTTCAAGTAATTTGCTGCCACATATTTTAATGCTAACTTTCACTAATATTGGTAGTAACACATTTTCAAATTGGGTAATATTTTTTATTAAACTTGTACCATGTTAGTATTTGTTTATATATACGGGACTTTTGCCCGGATTTGTGGCGTTTGTAATCGGGTTGTCTAGACCCATTTACTAAAAGTAGGTTCAACTTTTTGCTATCTGAATTAAGATTAAGCCCCAGTGAAATAAAAAGAATAATTAAGATTATACCTGAATCCCTTCGTTCCGTTTTCATTACGTGTTTATCTCGTCTTGGTGTTGAGATTTATCGAGACGAGACTCTGGGCCCCACCAGCGTGGGTTCTCCGGTTTTGCCCGTGCACGCATATACCCTTCTCACATGGCCTCTTCCTCTTCCTCTTCCCTCTAGAGCTGCTATTGGGGCCCAACAAGCTGTATCGGTGAGAGTTGGGGAGGAGACAAGGGAGGCCACCCTGAAACTTCATTTTCCTTCAGCATACGTCTCATCATGCACTCACCTGCATGTTATCTTGAACAGCTTATTTGATCTCCTACAAGACCCTCTATTTAATGCTTTTTGTTTTTATTCATTCACTACTATTTACTGTACTTTTCCCATCTTACCAACATATATATCCAACTCTCATAGTCTCCTAATCCCTGCAGTGACCTTCACAACAAGCCATTTCTGCATCATGTCCATCAGATCTTCTCTCTTCATCTTCTTCCTCCTGGCTCTCTGCATGCATGCATGCAACTCCCGTCATCTTGGGGTAGTCAATCAGGGTTCTGGCAAACAAAACTTTTCTGTCAATGTTGGTCTCTCTCTCTCTCTCTCTCTCTCTCTCTCGATCTTAAAACTTCATAGTACTTTCAGAATGTTAACTGTTTCTGGGTTTATAAAGATGTTTGGGATTGATGTGCAGGTTAGAGAGAATGTTAAACTCAGCATGGATTCAAAGCACGGAGGAGAGAGAATGCCTGAGACGAGTCATGGTGGTGCAATCAGTTCAAATCTTGAGGAGACGAAGGCTTCTGTGAAATTCAGCCGAGGAGCAATTTCAGGTCTTATTCCGATCAAGTCTCTGGTTTCAGTTTCCTGGCATGTGCCCCACAGGAACAGGGACGAACATCCTGGGTTTTACTCGGATTATTCTAGGCCGAGGACACGCCCTCCCTCTCACAACTGAAATTTCTTAGTTTTAGCTTCATTGAATTTATTTTCTTCTATATGCCCATCATTAAAAGTCTCATGGGTCATGACTATTTAGATTATAGAAACTAAGATGAGAGCCATAGAGCCTCTCAGAAACTAAGGAGTTATATTCACGAGCGGCTTAACGGCCTTAACCATAATATATATCCACAATAATCCTCATAGGCTGGTATTCAAGCTTTGTAGAAAAGATAGCTTATTGTTCTTCTTCTTGACCATCATGAGTTTGTGTTTGATCAAACCTAGAAAGTGCAAAGTACCTTCGCACTAAGGTTATAATAAGGAAAAACCAAGCATCTTGTGTTCTGACAAGGTGGTGGATCAAATGTAGATTTTTCTTGCATTTACTGTTGTTACTGTAATTGTTATTGATAGGGATGGAACATGCAGGAAGTGAGATTCTTGAATCGTCTCCTCACGTGGGTTTGCCAAAGGCAACAAAAATAGAGGTAAATAAATTACACATCACATGCCCGATAGTTTTTATTTTTATTTTTAAAGGAGCTGACCAGTTAGGTTTGGGTTGAAGGTGACCACCACCTAATGATCCATCTCTTTCACCATGTCCAAGTGAGAACGATGGGTCAGTGCATGAAGCCTTTTAAGTTTGAAAACAGACATGAGCAAGGAATAGGCCCCAACCCATATATGATGCGCATGAAACTGTTTCGGCAAAATCTGATATAAAACTGGTGTGGATATGCATAAATGAATTGAATTTTTTTGGAAAGGGGGAGGGGGGTTTCATTTGCATTCAATGAAGACTTTTACCAACTAGAATGTGACTTGGAAAGCAGTTGGACTTGGGAGACAGGTGGGCTTCCCATGGTTACGGTAACTTTGAGGAATTTGGGTTTAACAAAATAGTTACAGTAGGGAAAATATGAATTGCACAACCTTTTTCTTCTTTGTATATAATATATATGCTTGTGTGTGTGCCCTTTCGTGTTTGTGTGTGTATGAAATCATCTGCATCATAGTCAATTCTCCTAGAAGAAACATTTGGCAAAAGCTGATACCTAATACGCTTACATTGTGATTTGGAGGTCATATATTCGGGTTGTGAAAATAGTCTCTCTGTTTATAGGGGTAAAATTGTGTATATTTAACCCTTTTCAGATTTCAGAATGACAAGAATTTCTTATACTGAGTATACTCATTTGATACCTAAAAAGCATAATATTACACTGAGAGTGCTATAACTGCATGATGTAGGGTTCAAGATGGCCAGCTTCTTGGGCACATGAAGGCATAATAGAGACGGACTATGAGCCACCACATCGGAAACCACCAATTCACAACAAATAAACCCTTTCTAAAGTTTCTTCATATACGTATCTAGATCTTCTCTCTTGATGCACATTGAGCCATAGGTTGTTACCGTACCAGAAATATAAGACCCAGAAGATGAGTGAGAATTGTAGATCGAGTCTGGTGGTTGGTTTCTTAAATGAAGTCGGCAGCTAATCAGTTTGCTCCAGTGATTCTCAGTTGACACCTGATAGTAGTTTGACACATGCTGCAATCCTTCAGAATGGAAACTCTCAATTTGTTACCAAACTTTTGTAAGCGGAACTAGCAGTTACATTGATTTCGGTTGAATAAAAAAAAAAATACGCAAACATAAAGCTCAATTACGATATATAAGTGTGAAACTTATAAACTTGTGTGTTCTGAGTTTGAATCTCTCTAATCACAAATTATTATTTTTAATTGATGCGTGTGATTTATCGATGATCTTGTATATCCAAAGTATATATTATAGTCATGAGTTTAAAAAATATGTAGCTGAGATAGTTTTCTATTAATGAAACAACAAAAAAATCTTCTAATGCTCGCTCTTGCTCTCGAGCTATCACCAAATTCAAAATAATAGTGTTACATGCATCTAATCATTTGAACTCAGTTATTGATTCAAATTATTCCTGTCAGTGAGCAAGTTAGATCACATAATGAGATATATATTATTGACAATTGTTCTTGATGGTTACACCACATTAACATTGTTAACATAATATAACAATTACATCCAATATTTCCTCGAAGAGGGTTTTTTTTGGGGGTGTTGGGGGGGGGGGGAGAGATTAGCAGGTGCCATTGTCATTTTGTATGACCAGCAATGGTCACTTCAATTCCAACCAGCTAAAGGTCTATTGATTCTATTGTTGTAAGTAGTTAAAAAAATAATTGAGAGGGTGGTGAAAAGATTGAATATAGGCAGGCTTAGATCAGGATTGTCTCCTCTCGGAGGAGACCAAAGACAAAAAGGGTTGCAACTTTTTCAAGAATGTCTCTTGAACAAAATAAAAATATTGTAACATGACATCCTCCTCAACCAAAATTAAGGAATTTGGTAAACTCCCATGTCCTAAACAATTAACAAGCGCCCAAAGCCCTAGGAGTAATTTTAGCACTAAAAAACAGTGATGTTGGTGACAGGGTAGCAAAAAAGATCTCAACAGCACCCCCCCCCCCCTCCTCTTTTTTGGTTGAGAATATAACTCTGTATTAATAAATATAAACTTCTATATATGACAAACTAGCATGGTTAGCCTATACCATTTCTTTCTTCATTCATCTTCTACCTTGAGCTGCTAATGTATTGGCAGCCATGCTTTGTGACCTTCCTCACACTCTGGAGCTGGACCAGAGGTTTTTGCTGCACATAATGCCAAATATTCTTTGGTTTGACGCCAAATTCCTAATAGTTGCTTCAAGTGGGATTGTCGATGCATTCGATTTTGATTCAAATCTGATTAGATGGATATGAACATCTTCTTTTTTATTAATAATTCGAACCTAAACCTAATATCTTATATTTCACGTATTCGGATTTAAATATATCTATATTTGATCTGGTTATTATTCAATTCGAATTTTTTTATATATTTTCATATAAATATTAAAAAAATTAAGTGATTATTTAAAAAAAAAATTAGTTGAAATTTAAGTATAATTTGTTAAAATTTAGTTAATTAAGTTATTCAGATCAAATCAAAGTTTATATTGTTAACGGACTCAGATATAGACCGCAAAAATACAATTTTTCAAATTATGGGATCAAACTTTTTAAATCAAAATCAAATTCAATTAATTCAAAATTCGATTCAAACTCAATCCGTAGACACGCCTAAATTGAAGGCCTTTTTAAGTACAGAATTCATTAGGTATTTGGAATCAGATTCAATCATTACTGGCTTCAAGACTCAATTCAGACCTAATTATGCAGATTGCAGACCAACGGTTGGATTAACGGTGAATCTTATCTAATAGGATTTGTTACTAACTCCAAGGCTGCAGTAAATTACGACAATAAATGAACTGGCTTGAAAGCCCAGAAGTTTGGCAGTCCGTGGTCCAGACCCTCAAAAAAATATGGGGGCCCATGGCCAATCGATATTGCTATGGATAGGGCTAGGAATCACTGTTTTTTGCCTGCTAGACTCGGCAGGATAGGGTCATGGATCATATCAACTACTTCTCAATCCCTGGTGGACAGGGGATCTCTGTCTTCAATTGAGATCCTTGCAACCATGGTAGCCGTTAGATGAATTTATTTGAAATTTTTGGATAGACTTATTAAAGTTTATCATATTTTATATTATAAAATTGACACAAATAAAAATAATATTCTATAATTTTTAATTTTCTTACAAATTTTATATTTTACTCATTTTTGATTATATATTTCATAATTTTTTAACTAAAGGAGGCTCCAACAAATTATACCAATACTCTAAAAAATTAATTTTAGTTTACTAATTTTAAGAGATTTGATATAATCTTTTTGTATTTTTTTTTGTTCTAGTACCTAACTTGTGTAACCCAATTAATTTTATTTTTCATAAATCAATTACAGGGACCTAATTAAAAATATCCAAAAAAATATATAAAACATATATAAGTTAAAAAAAAAAATATTCAGGGTGGCCCAAGCTCCTCCCCCCTTCTGCCACCGCGTGAGAGAGAGAGTGAAGAGTTAGAAGAGAAATATAAAATTCAATCTGAACAGTTTTAAGAGAGATATTGGTGACTGTTGAATCAGGTTATTTGAGACCGTTGGATGAACTTATTGAAGTATTTTTTGTTTTATATTATAGATAAATCCACGAAATATATAGAATTGACTTAAAAAATCATTAATTTATACACATGTAATCAAAATCGAACCAAATTTAATTTATTAAAAAACATATTGTCAAAATATTTTCTATTAAAAAAAGATCTATAAATATCATTTATAAATTATTATTTTTTTAATTAGTACAAGTTATTAAAAAATTATTAATTTATAAGCATATATTAGCGTTGAGTTTTCTTATGAGATAAAAAAAATTAGTGTTGAATTTTTGATTCAAGATATAGGTAAGACATGTTAGTTTGAGATAATTAATTAAATAAATAAAAGTAAAATTAATTATATTCAATAAAAATGTATTAACTAGCGCCCTTGTTTTTTTTTATTTGTTAAATTGATGAGTTTTTTTAAATCAAAATATTATCATTGTGTTTTATAAAAATTTAAAATGTTATGCTACACAAACGATATGAATGACAAATTTGACTCATTTAATTATTATATCAAAGAAAATTTTGTATTCCAAGATTAGTCACAATCGTTGACCGGTTAGAGAAAAAATATTAAGGAAAAAAATGGTAATTTCTTGATCGTTAGATAAATGAATTTGAGATCATAGGATGTGTTTTAAGATCAGTCATAATCATTGACCTGATGGGGGGAAATATTAAGGAAAAAAAACGTAATTTTTTGATTGTTGGATGAATGAATTTGGAACTATAAGATAAACTTGTTGAAATCACTGCTATTTAATATTATAGATATGGGAAAATTACACTTTACTCTTCTAAATTATGGCTCTGCTTTTACTTTGCCTTTTGAACTATTAAGTTTCTCACAGTCTGACATGTTTTGGTAAAATAATGTTCAACTGTATGGTAAAATACAAGACTTTA